TTTTCCAGCCAGGTATTGTCTGTCCTCTTTGAAACGCTAACATACCCATGACAAAAAGTCAATCAGATTCCCATCCAGTGCTGCATCCCTAGCCTGCCACCCCGGATGCCCACAAACTGGTGCTGATCCCACATGGCAAGAGGACCCAGGACCTGGAGAACCAGGCTAGCAGCTGTGGACAGGGCTGGATGTCACTGACCAGATCCAGTTGCCAGTGGTGAGGTCTGGCACCTCAGCCAGTGGCACTACGGGGTCTGACTGGCCTCAATAAAGCAGATGCTGCTAAGCATGGTCAGCACTCGAGCATGAGGTCAGGAAGACACTGTGGAGGTCTGAGCCCAGCCTTGCTTGTTCAAGTCAAGGCTTGTTCTCTGCCATGCTTTTGACCTGGGATCTCACCAAATTCTAGCTTTCCAGCTCTAAAAAGGACAGGACCTCACATACCTTATATAAGGTTTGAGGAATAAATGAGCTGGTATGCACGAAACACCTAACACAGGTTCCTGAAGACAGGCGCTCAAAAAAAAATAGTTAACCGTGTTTAGCTATCTAATAATTAGCAAAGCACAAGTCTAGTCTCTTTGACTTTAACTCAGCGCCCAAAATCAAACATGAGTGTGTGCAAGTGTGTGTATGTACTTTCCTCCAAAAGTCTCAATGAAGTGTAACATGAGAAGGAAAACCCAATTCAAGTGTTAGCTTGAGGAAAACCCAATTCAAGTGTTAGCTCAGGAATGAACTCACAACTGAAGAGTAAATCATATCATTCCCACTTCCTGAGCTATGAAAAGTGGAATAATAAAGCATACTACACTCTGCTGATCTCAGAAACAACAATCAGTGAGAACAGGCACAAAATACAACTAACTACATGGTGGAGTGCTTGCTTAGAATGTCCAAAGCCCTGGGTTCAATGCCTCACCACCAAAACAGCCAGCATATGAAGAAAACAATTCCACTGCATCAAAGAAAAAGCAGTAAGTAAATAGAGAATGTTCATTATTAAAGAAAAACAGTAAATAGCTGGGTGCTGGTAGCTCAACCTGTAATCCTACCTGCTCAGGAAGCTGACATCTGAGGATCGAGGTTCAAAGCCAGCTCAAGCAAGAAACTCTGTGAGACTCTTATCTCCAATAAACCGCTTAGAAAACTGGGAATGGCACTGTGGCTCAAGAGGTAGAGCACTAGCCTTGAGCTGAAGAGCTGAGGGACAGCGCCCAGGCCCAAAGTTCAAGCCCCATGACCGACAAAAGAAAGAAAAAAAGGAAGAAAGGAAGAAAGAAAGAAAGCAAGCAAGCGGTAAATAATGTGGTTATTAAAAACAGTAAATAAGAGAACATTATTGTTCAATGTCATGCCCAGTATTATCATACATAAACATCATTTTTTAGTGATGATTCTTAGTTTTTAAAGAATATCAAGTCAACTGGCCTTTTAATCTGTTCACAAGAGCCTATAAATGCAGAGGTTCAGTGCTCAACCAGAACTCAGGAAAGCTGAGAGCCTGCCCAGACCTGCTGGTCTCGACACAACTACCCTAGTCACGTCTCAAAGGCAAAGCCAGGAGAAATCAATCAGGTTTCTGGTTCCACTTGGACATATCAAACCATCCCAGGCAGAATTCCCATCTACAAGACTATCCAACAGAGTCAAGGCAGGGTTGGCTCTGATCATTCATTCTCTTGTACTGAGTGATATTTGGATCTCTTCTAGACTTATATCATCCCTTCTTTAAAAATGTACTATGAGGGCTGGGCAGGCTAGTGCATGCCTGTAATCCCAGCACTCCTGGAGGCTCAGGCAGGATGATTCAGAGTTCAGCACTAGTCTAGGCTATCCATACAAGCCCATGTCTCAAAAGGGGCGTGGGGGTAAGGTAACCTGCGTGAGACGGAAAAAAAAGCTCAGTTTCTCCTTGCTTGATTTTTGCTTCACAGTCCAGGGGTGTCATTTTCATTTACAGCCTACCATTAAAATATAGGGTGATGCCAGGCATCAAGTGCCAAGAGCCTAGAATCCTAGTACTCAGAAGTCTAAGATCTAAGGATGGCTGTCTGAAGCCAGCCCAGGCAGACAAATCCAGAGATACTTATCTCCAAGTAACCAACAAAACACTGGAACTGGAAGCATGGGTCAGGTGGTAGAGGGTCAGCTGTGAGCAAGAAAGCAGAGGAAGAGGCCAAGCCTCAGTACTAGCTGAGTTGAGAAGTAGCTCATCCCAATTTACAGAGCTAAGTACTTTCCCTCCCTTTTCTTCAAAGCCTACTTTTTTTTCTCTGATACCTGGAAAACACCGTGGCGGGGGAGGAGGACGGGGATATTACAGTAGTCTTGTAGTCAAATTTTAAACATTTCAAATAAACAAAAAAAGAGCTTTGAGTAATCAGGTCCAAGTTCTCAAGTTCTCAAACACTCTTTGCAGGAGGAATCACCAAACATCTTTCCTATAATTATGAAATTAACTTATGCTATTTAATACACTATCAGAAGATACTTCAAAAAGTTTACAACTTAGAACACAAGAAAAATCCACTGTAAGGCTAAAATATTAAGAGCAAAGTTTCTAACATGCAACAATCCAAGAATTTATGGCATTCTCTTAGAGATGTGCTGGAGAGAAGGCAACCACAACAATAAACCACCATCTGGGTGGCCAGGTAAGAAGTTAGGTGACTTGGTTCTGTTATATATAAAATCTCTATAAAATCTCACTTACTCCTGCCCCTGGGGTGCAAGCCATCAACTACATACTTGTCTCTGTAGCAAACTGAAGTTGAAGCCACATAGATACACACTGGTGTCCATTCTCTCCACTCCCATGATACTTTAAAAAAAAAAGTTTTAAACAAATCCACAATTCATCTCTATTTCTCTGCATCAATCCATTTCACATAAAACCATAATGACTGCCTTAAATATCCTCATTAAAAAGAACACCAGTGGGACTCATATGCTTGGAAACCCTTTCTCTGTCTCCATACTGGAGAAATGTCACCAAGACTCAGGGTTAGCCATCACCCGGAAACGGGCTGGGTGGCGGCTCTGCCTGCGGTACCAAAGGCCCCTTCTTCCCAACAAACTACGGTGAATGGGCTGAATGGCACAATCCATGGCCGGCAGATGCCAGAAATCTCCAAGGGCCATTACTACTCTGGTCAGGCCCACACACCCCCAAGGTCCCAGCGGCACCTCCAGCCCCTCCCATGAGGTGATCTCAGCCATGAGGTGACCCACAGCCCCTCAGGTGAGGAGATCCCAACCCTGAGGTGACCCGCAGCCCCTCAGGTGAGGTGATCTCAGCCCTGAGGTGATCTCTGATCTCAGCCCTGAGGTGATCCCCGGCCCTTCAGGTGAGGAGATCCCAGCCTTGAGGTGACCCGCAGCCCCTCAGGTGAGGTGATCCCAGCCCTGAAGTGATCCCGGGCCCCTCAGGTGAGGAGATCCCAGCCCTGAGGTGATCCCTGGCCCCTCAGGTGAGGTGATCTCAGCCCTGAGGTGATCCCCAGCCCCTCAGGTGAGGAGATCTCAGCCCTGAGGTGACTCGCAGCCCCTCAGGTGAGGAGATCCCAGCCCTGAGGTGATCTGGGCCCTGAGGTGATCCCTGGCCCCTCAGGTGAGGAGATCCCAGTCCTGAGGTGATCCCTGGCCCCTCAGGTGAGGTGATCTCAGCCCTGAGGTGATCCCCAGCCCCTCAGGTGAGGAGATCTCAGCCCTGAGGTGACTCGCAGCCCCTCAGGTGAGGAGATCCCAGCCCTGAGGTGATCCCTGGCCCCTCAGGTGAGGAGATCCCAGTCCTCAGGTGACTTGCAGCCCCTCAGGTGAGGAGATCCCAGCCCTGAGGTGATCCCCCGCCCCTCAGGTGAGGTGATCCGCAGCCCCTCAGGTGAGGAGATCCCAGCCCTGAGGTGATCCCCCCAGGCCCCTGAGGTGAGGAGATCTCAGCCCTGAGGTGATCTCGGCCCCCCAGGGGAGGTGATCTCAGCCCTGAGGTGATTCCCCTGCCCCTCAGGTGAGGTGATCCCGGCCCTGAGGTGATCGGCAGCCCCTCAGGTGAGGTGATCCTGGCCCTGAGGTGATTCCCCCGCCCCTCAGGTGAGGTGATGGGCAGCCCCTCAGGTGAGAAGATCCCAGCCCTGAGGTGATCCGCAGCCCCTCAGGTGAGGAGATCTCGGCCCTGAGGTGATGGGCAGCCCCTCAGGTGATGTGATCCCCGGCCCCTCAGGTGAGGAGATCCCAGCCCTGAGGTGATCCGCAGCCCCTCAGGTGAGGTAATCCCGGCCCCTCAGGTGAGGCGATCTCGGCCCCTCAGATGAGGTGATCTGCAGCCCCTCAGATGAGGTGATCCCCGGCCCCTGAGGTGAGGAGATCCCAGCCCTGAGGTGATCCGCAGCCCCTCAGGTGAGGTGATCCGCAGCCCCTCAGGTGAGGTGATCCCGGCCCCTGAGGTGATCCGCAGCCCCTCAGGTGAGGAGATCCCAGCCCTGAGGTGATCCGCAGCACCTCAGGTGAGGCGATCTCGGCCCCGAGGCGACCCGAGCCCCGCCGTGAGGAGACCTCCACCCGCCTCCGGCCCTCGGGCATCTCCGGTGCGGGCCGGGGGCGCTGCCCGGCGGCTGGGACGGACCTCCGAGAAGAGACCCGGGACCTCCGCGGGTTCGCTCGGCAGCCCGCACGGGCACGCGCGGCCGGCCCAGCCCCCGCTTCCACGCCGCCGCCCCGCGGGCGCTGCCCTCCCGCCCGGCCGGCCGCGCGCGGAGCGGGGAGGAACGCGGGGAACCGGCGATGCGGGAGCCCGGGATGCCGCACGGAAAGAGCGGGCCAGGCCCCGCCCCGCGACCCTGACCGACCTGGGCCGCGGAGGTCAAGGGCAGCGCCCCAGGCCGTGAGCGCTCGGGGCCCGAGGTCGTCGCCCGCCCGCCGCCGCCGCCGCCGTCCCGGCCAGCCCGGGCCCGGGAGCTCTGCGCGCGCGCGGGCGCGGGGGCGGCGGGGTCCGCACTCACCTCCGCCTCATGCCGCGGCGTTCCCGAGGCCGGCCGGGCCGCCCAGCCCCGCACGTCCCGGTGTCGCGAGCGGCCCCGCGCCAGCCCGCGGCGTCCAGCGCGGCAGCGGCGGCGGCGGCTGCGGCGGCGGCGGCGGCGCCGCGGAGGCTGGGCGGGCGCAGGGGCGGGCGGCGCCGCGGCAGGCGGGCGCTGCGGCCCTCGGGGCCCGACTACCGGGCCCCGGCCCGGGGGTGCGCTCGGGCTCGGGGCCGCCCGGAACTGGCGCGTGGCTCCCGCCTCCTCCCCCTCCCCCCGGGCACCTGGCGGCCACCTCGAGGCTCCGACTCGGCAGAACCTCCAGGGTCCAGTGCGAAAGGATGGAGGAAGGAGACGCGGCCGGGCCCGCCCAGCGCCCCCCCCCCACGGCACGCTCCACATGGTACGCTCCAGAGCCGCCCGCGGAGGGGAGCGCCGAGGGGATTGGCCCGAGGTCCTGGAGGGGCGCACGAAATGGCCAATGGAGAGGCGCGGGGGTCCGTGGGGGCCGGCCCGGTGGAGGGGGGCGGAGCCGGCGGCCCGGGAGGCGGGGAGGGGCCGCCGGAGCGCGCGCTTCCCGCGGATCGGGCGGCGGCGCTCGGCTGAGCCCATCTGGACGAGCATCTTCTCCGGTGTCGTCTGCTGGTGAGTGAGCGGCCGTGGGGAGGAACATGCGAGAGAAAAATGGAACTCTGTTCTGACCGCGCGGTGAGGCCACCGTGAGGAGCCCCCCGCCCCCCCCCCCCCCGCCTCCGTTTCTCCTCTTTTCCGAGACCCGGGACTCGAACTCGGCGCCTGACTCACTCCCCGGCCGGGCGCTCTACCCCCTGAACCACAGCGCCACTCGGGCTGCTTCCGAAGAGTTCATTGGAGATGTAGCTCGCCCGGGCTGGCTTCGAACCGCCGTCCTCAGCCCTCAGCCCCCTCGGTGCTAGGATGCCAGGCCCGACAGGTCCCGGTAAAACCTCACTGCTGAGGCCTTGGGCCCCAACCTGACAGCTTCCGGAGCAGCTGAGCGGGGCTGCAGGAAGTGGGGGCTGGGAAGGTGGCTCCGTGGTAGAGCGCTTGCCTCGCATGCCTGAGGCCCTGGGTTCGATTCCCCAGCACCACATACACAGAAAAAGCCGGAAGTGGCGCTGTGGCTCAAGTGGTAGAGCGCCAGCCTTGAGCTGAAGAGCTGAGGGACAGCGCCTAGGCCCAGAGTTCAGGCCCCACGACCGACCCAATAAATAAATAAGTGCTGAAACATGATCGAACACAGATGCCAAGTCTTCCATGGTTCAGATCCCTACATTCATGACCTGTGACGCCAACTCCCCCCCCTTTACCTGACTTATCATGATGTGTTTGTGCCTTGGCCCCCTCTGAAAGCATGCATCTTGTGCCTGTCATCTTTGCCTTTACTCCTGGGTGTTTAGGAAGTGTATTGTGAGCCGAGGACACTGGGTACATTATAATTGGGTGGCTAACTGAGTAAGGCAGGCCACAGCTTGCAGGAGGGAGTCAGTTCTTATTCCTGCATCCACTGGCTTAGCTGCAGTGGGCGTTCAGCGTGCTCATTCTGTGCACCTATAACTCCAGCGCTTAGGGATCATTGAGAGTTCCAGGCCATCCTGGGGTACATTGTGAGACCTTGATGAATGTCAGTGATCCTTAACCTCCATAGCATAACCAAGACCCAGGTGGTAAGAAAGTCATGGGTCATTGGGGCTGAGAAGGTGGCTCCGTGGTAGAGTGCTTGCCTACCATGCATGAAGCCCCAGGATCAATTCCCCAGCACTACATAAGCAGAAAAAGCCAGAGGTGGCGCTGTGGCTCAAGTGGTAGAGCACTGACCTTGAGCTGAAGAGCTGGGGGACAGTGGTCAGGCCCAGAGTTCAGGCACCACGACCAACAAAAACAAAAACCCGGGCTGGGAAGGTGGCTCAGTGGTAGAGTGCTTGCCTTGCATGCTCGAGGCCCTGGGTTCGATTCCTCAGCACCACATAAGCAAAAAGAAAAAAGTTGGAAGTGGCGCTGTGGCTCAAGTGGTAGAGCGCTAGCCTTGAGCTGAAGAGCTGAGGGACAGGGCCCAGGCCCAGTGTTCAGGCCCACGACCGGACCCAAAAAAAAAAAAAAAAAAAAAACCCCACACAGTCCGGGGAACTGCATCTGGTCCCTGACCCCTTCTTACCCATTTCTGGTCCACCCCTAGGTGAGTGCCCTTTACCACAAACTCCCACTTCCCTGATGCTCTGCCTCACTGGGGTCCAAGACTGTGAGCCACCTCTGAACCACAAGCCAAACTAAACCCCACCTCCTTTGCATTGTTTGTGTCAGGTATTGTTTTCTCCCAAAGAAATGAACATTAACTTTTTCTTATGTACTGGGTACTGGTGGGACGTGCTTTGTATCCATGATTTCATTTCATCCTCACATCAGCCCTGTGAGTGCCATTACTTTTCCCAGTAATACCTTAACTGCCTCTGACAGGAAAGAGGCACTTAAAGAAGCTGATGTGCCTAAATGCACACCGAGCTCTGACTCTAGTACCTACTTTCACAACCCTACGGCAAAACACTGTCTCCTATTTCTTTTTTTTATTGTGAACATACCAATGTCTCCTATTTCTGAAGATGCTCCTGCATTCCATATAAAAGATAAAGTCATGGCTGGGAAGAGCTCAATGGGAAAAGTAAGCTCAGCCTGAGAGGATTTTACAGTTACTTTTATTCCTATAATATTTCAGCCTCAGATAATAGTGAGGAGTTAGACGTGGGATCAAGCCTTTAATCACAGATAAACTAGTAGTATCATGAGTTCTGGGCTAGCCTGGGCAAGGTAGCAAGACTCTGTCTCAGAAAAACAAAAGCCCAGGTGCTAGTAGCTCATGCCTGAAATCTTAGCTAATTAGGATGCTGAGGTCTGAGAATCACAGTTTGAAGTTAGCCAGAGCAGAAAAATCTGAGATTCTTCAATTAACCAGATAGAAGTGTCTAGGTATTCACACAGTGAGACCAAAAGGGCATACTCTTAGGAGATGAACACAAAGGCACAATGCCTATATGCCTCTGATCATATAAAATAGAATTTATCAAAATGAACTCCAGGAAATGGAAGAAGAAGAAAACAAAACAAAAAAAACCATAAGTGGTAGAGCACAAGCCTTGAGCAAAAAAGCCAAGCAAAGTTGGGCACCGGTACTCACATCTGTAATCCCAGCTACTCGGGAGGCAGAGATTTGAGGATCATAGTAGAAAGCCAGTCCAGGCAGCAAGGGCGTGAGACACTTATCTCCAATTATCCACCAGAAAACTAGAAGTGGTGGGCTGGGAAGGTGGCTCAGTGGCAGAGCGCTTGCCTTGCACACATGAGGCCCTGGGTTCCATTCCTCAGCACCACATAAGCAGAAAAAGCCGGAAGTGGTGCTATGGCTCAAGCGGTAGAGAGCTAGCCTTGAGCTGAAGAGCTGAGGGACAGCGCCCAGACCCAGAGTTCAGGCCCCACAACCGACCAAAAAACAAAAAGAATACCCTGAAGAGGAAAGCCAGTTACCTTCCTAATCTCCAAACTGATTCTTCTCCCTCCAGACCCCTGTATGTTTGCTTTTCATTCAGTATGGGAACTAATTCTTTACTAATAAATATTAACTCTGACCCCTAAAAATGAAAATCATATGTGCATAGTAAGGTAAACAGTAATTGATGCTTTATTAGTCCAAAGAGATTACTCCTCCTAGGTTGAAGTAAAATCAGTCTCTCTCACACATGCACACACATGCATGTATGCACACACACACACACACACACACACACACACACACACTTCCACATACAGTTTTAAAAAATGGACATTTTCTGGTGGAAATGCCTACAAGAAAATGCAGGCGCCCCAGGACAAAAGGGTGCCCGGTACACATGTCTGCACAGAGCCTCCATCAGCTATCCTTGGAGGAGAGCAAAAGCTTTCATTCTGCTTCAGGGTGATGGCAATTCATGCTTCCCTGAGCTTCTTTGGCAAAGCACAGATTAAGGAAAACCCAGGAACCATAAACAAGGCCATTTGATCTGAAAATACCAGAGCCTAGAGGAAAGAGAACAGGCTTTCCAGGCTGTAGCTTTTATTCCTGCCCCTACCTTCTACCCCTTCCTGTGCTACTTCAAAAGAAAAGGATCCATCATTGAAACATCCACATTAGGAAGATTTCTAAGAACGTTGTCCCAGAGCTCCATTCATTACATACCCAGTCTTCCCATAGCAGGCATCACCTACTTCAAACTTACATCCCACACCCACATCCACTGCTGGAACCCAGGACCTCAGCGCTGTCCCTGGCTCTGTTCTCCACAAAGTTTAGTGGGGAAATAGTCCTCAAAAGTCTGTTCCTTCTGCTTCAAAAATTACAGTCACTGGGAGAGAGTGGCAGTGTCCAAAAAGAAATGCACTGCTGACCTGATTGTGTCACTGTAGCCCCTCTGTATGTCACCTTTATAATAACTTTATTAAATGATAGTTCCCTTACTCTACACAGTTCAAGAGAAAGCATTATTTGTACTGAGATCCCTTACACTTAATTTTCCCAGGACAGTAGTTGCGAAAAGCACAAGGTATCTTCAACATGAGGCAGTCAGTAACTAAAGACTAGGTCAGTAGACAGTCAAAGTCTCCTAAGCAAGGGCTGTAGCAAAATAAAATAAATTCATCGGTTTTAGGATTTGAACTCAGGGCCTGGGCGCTGTCCCTGAGCTCCTCAGCTCAAGGCTAGCACTGACCACTTTGAGCCACAGAGCCACTTCTGGTTTTCTGGTGGTTCACTGGAGATAAGAGTTTCACAGACTTCCTGCTGGGGCTGGCCTCAAACCCTAGTCCTCAGAGCTCAGCCTCATGAGTAGCTGGGATGACAGGCGTGAGCCACCAGCTAGCTTTATCAAATTTATCATGAGCTTCCAGGAACAGTGAAAGAAGAGTCACGTGGGTTGGGTTTGTCAAATTATGTGACTTCAGGATTGTTCCGGATTATAGTGTTAAGCATGATTTTACATTTTAATATGTTAACTTCTGGGATTTCTCGTCTCCTCCTCTACAT